AAACAGCAAGTGATTTCTCACAGATGGGCAACAAGTGACGAGGGATAAAAGCTACTAGATTGAAAAGATTGATGCCTGCGTATAAGCACTTCCTTCACTGTGACTGTGAGCTTTTTTTCCTCAGGCAGCTGTAATCCCCAAGACAAGGCCACTGAGCATGGAGGCATCTTTCAACTGGAAATCATCCCACAGCCTCCTTGTCCCACACACAATAACAGCCCCCCCCCCACACACACACACACACACACACACACACACACAGGAAGGGAGAGCTGTGGAGTGGAGAAAGTTGGCCCACAAGGTGTTGATAATGAGCTGACAATGCCTGGCTTCAATCCGACCGTGTCACTCTAGTGTGGCAGGATTCCTGGTCGCAGTGCAGAATGGGCACGGGGGGGGGACGCAAGATACCATCAAACCACGGTCAAACCGTAAAATAATCCTTGCTGTTTGTTTGAAACTGCTTGGTGAACCAGATGGGTGGGATGTTGCTGCCTTGGGACGGCTCACGTGCCAAAGTACACTAAGATGATTGTTAAATGTTGTGCTGTTGGAAGATACACTCTAATTTTTCTCTGCGGCAATCTCCACCCGTATTTTAATACCCTACTAAGCCAAAAAAGCAGTAACTACATATTTTGTTAAAATATATTTAAGACAAAAAAATCGGACTTAACATTTATTTTGCCGTATAAAGTTGTTTAAAACAGCATGTTAATGTGCACTACACAGCTAAAGCAAGAGAACCAAATCTTGCTAAAGCTAGCTATAGAGATAGACACAACCTAGCCTTGACTGAAGCCCCCTAACGGCTGAATAAATTGATGAATATTGGTGAATTATATTGGTGAGTTAGCTTAGCAGAGGAGCAGTAACTGCCTTGTTTGACTCTAGTGGAAATCACAATTTGATGAGTATTGGTTATTTAACATTTTAGTAGCTTTGTTATTCCACATAAAGCACAATTTGGTGTGGTCAAGCTACTTTTAAATATCACTTATTTAAACGTACATTTATTCATTTTATTAATTATTATTACAGGTTACCAATAAAACAATGGTGGGCCTAGACAGAGTAGATTTTGTTTGCTGACACTGATTCTTTCCCCTCGATTATATTCCCTGAAGTCGTTCCAAAGGGTGACATTAATTATCTTTTGTAGTAAAATAGCAGAAAAATACATAATATGAAGGATTTACATCATCTGTCCCAGCAGTCAGTGGAAAACCCTTTATTCTGAACTTTCTCAGCTTTTCTGGAGTTACTGCTGCTGCCTAAGAAAAAAATAAACAATAAAAGGGAAAATCAAACTACAAAAAGTATCTACAAGTGCCACTCAACCCAGGTCTGGTTGCCCTGCAGTATGAGTGTGTCAGAGATGAGCTGTTTGTTCTGTAACAGAGAGCTGTCCCACAGAGTGTGAGGTCATACACGGGGGAATTTATCCACTCATACTGCAGCCTTTGTTTTGTACAAATTCAACAAGTCATACACGAGGCGCCCACGGCTACAGTATAGACCTCAGGAATGTGAGCCTGCAATTGACATGTAACATAAATGGACACACAGACGCAAACACACACCAACAGTTTCTTGAAGTATTTGCAATGCGTATCTGTGTTTTCACAGACAACATACTCCATTCACACAATCTGCAGTGGAATCATGGGTTAAATGGGAGGGTTTAAAAAGGATTTACAGAAAAATGTGCATCATGAATGTGATTATGTGTGGAATTCATGCAGCCTTGGTTCTAGGGAAGGCGGTGTGGGTCCGCCTCTTTTGTTCAGAATGAAATATCTCAACAAATATTAGATTGATTGCTGGGAAATGATGTACAGACGTAATCAGGTTCTCCAGAAGAGGAATCCTTCTGACTTTGGAGATCCTGACACGTCCTTGAGCCCCACTGACTGGTTGATTTTTTGAATGTCTGAAACAACTATTGGATGGAGTGCAAGATATTCAGATATCCATGATGACTCCCTGACTTTTCATCTAGCACCATCCTCAGGTCATATTCTTAATTTGCCTGCAAAACTAATGACATTCCCATCAGTCTCTGTACTTCATGTTTAATGTTAAATAGCAAATGTTAGACAACTTATGTTAGCATTTATTTCAAAGCACTGCCTCACCTAAGTACATCCTCACAGGGCAGCTAGCATAGTTGCAGTCTCTTGTTTATTCATTTTCTTAAAATAAAATCAAAAGGCTCATTATGATCTGCAAGCCCTGGGCAAGTTGATGCTAAGAACGAACAGAAAAAAACAACCAAGATAAAAAACAAATGGACAGACAACATCAAACACTGACATATTATCACCTGCCAGTATTTCCTTTCATTTTAACATCCAGGAGACGCAGGGCTACATTAGGATTTATTGATGTGTACATCAAATATTCATTCTCCTTTTAGCCCCTAAATGATGTGGCTGCTAAATGCTCCTCCGTGTTCACCAGCTCTTCAAACCCTTTGCTGCTGTTTGGTGATGGGCAGCAACTGTAAAGGGGGTTTATCAGCCTTACTGCTGACAACAGGTTGACGACAGCACTGAAAATTGTTGGCCATAAAACGACAACAATGAGCTGAAAGACACTGTAACACCATTATCTCATCCAAAATAGGCAATGCTATAGCTTTAAGAAATACATTTCTGTCACATTTTCACTTCCTTTTTTTTGCGTGTTGTTTACTGGCTCTCCAGGTGAAGTGTTGTCGTATAAAGTCTGCAGTGTGCTTTTAATAGGAATTTAGTGAGGTGACGAATCACATGCACAGAGAACAGGAGGAACAGATGGTCAAAATGGCTCCAAAAGCTCATTTTCGTATCAGGGCCCCATGGTGAGTTATCAAGCCCTGAGTAGAATACAGCTTAAAGGAAAAAAAGACAGAGTCATACAAACCAGTATCAGACACCACACATGGCATGCAGACTTGACATTGATGGAACCAAGCAAAATAAAAATATTCATGTATCATACAGTTTTCTTTAAAAATACACTGAGCAGAGGACACATTTTTGAGGCTAAAAATCTTCCATTTTCTTTTCAAAGGTTACATTGTTTGGTTATCTTATAGAACACATTGATATAAATACTTCTTTTTTATTTTCTTTTGTCTTATGTTGAGGTAATCCAAAAGTAACAGAAAGTAATCAAGTGACGTTACTTTAACACTGTGATACTTGGATTAGGTTACTGACTACATTTTTGTGTAATTTTACAGTAACCCTCCCAATCCTGGTTATTTCTCCAAAAAACAATGTTTTTAAAACACTCAAGTATGTTGTTAAATCCCTAAAATGAGTTCCAATGATCATAATGGTTAACCGCTTGTCCAGTGCTCAGTGGTCAAATGGCACAAGCCCCCAATAC